AGATAACTAATGGCCAATAAGCACAAGAAATGATGCTTGACCTCACTAGTACAGGAAATGAAAGTCAAAATTACAATGAGATACCACTTCATACCCATTAGGATGGCGTCTATCAAAAATAAAACAAAACAGAAAACAGCAAGTGTTGGCAAGGATGTGAAAAAAAACATAGAACCCTTGTACAATACATTGCTGGTGGGAGTGTAAAATGGTGCAATTAGTATGGAAAATAGTATGGCAGTTTCTCAAAAAATTAAAAATAGAATTACCATATGAGCCAGCATTTCCCCTTCCAGATATATATATATACCCAAAAGAATTGAAAGCAGGGACTAGAAGAGATTTTTGTATATTCATGTTCATATTAGCGTTATTTATAATGGTCAAGAGATGGAAGCAACCCAAGTGCCCACCAATGGATGAATGGATTAATAAAGGTTGGAATATACTAGTATATGCATTGGAATATTATGCGTCCTTAAAGAGGAAGGAAATTCTGACATATGATACAATATGATATGGGGACATTGTGCTAAGTGAAATAAGCCAATCATGGTAGATACTAATTCCACTTATATAAGGTGCCTAGAGTAGTCAAATTCATAGAGACAGAAAGTAGAATGTGGTTGCCAGCGGCTGGGAAAAAGGGGAAAAAGGACATGCTGTTTAATAGGTATAGAATTCCCAACATGAAAAACAGTTCTGGAGATGGACAGTGGTCATAGCAGCACAACACTGTGAATGTACTTAATGCCACAGAACTTACACTTACAAGTGATTAAGACGGTCATTTTTATGTTATGTATATTTTACCACAATTAAAAATAAAGACATTTTTAGCCCTGACCCATTTGGCTCGGTGGATGGAGTGTTGGCCTGGAGACTGAAGGGTCCCGGGTTCGATTCCGGTCAAGGGCATGCACCTTGGTTGCAGGCACATCCCCAGTAGGAGGCGTGCAGGAAGTGGCTGATCGATGTTTCTCTCTCATCGATGTTTCTAGCTCTCTGTCCCTCTCCCTTCCTCTCTGTAAAAAATCAATAAAACATATATTTTTTAAAAAGACATTTTTAAACATCGCAACCACGTTGGAAGGATGGGCAAGAAGTTGACGCACAGGGGGCTGAGTGTGTGGGTGTCTGCATGTGTATGGGTTGCAGGGCGCGGGAGTGTGAGAGCTAAATCTTCCTCCTCGTGGTGGGAGTCAACAGAAAGTGCCTGAGTCCGAAAGATCAAGAAATAGAAGCAAGTGTGTTATTTAATGATAAGGAAGTAAATACCAAAAGAATCAGCCCAAAGAGTTGAAAGTGTTTGCCTCTGGGAGGAGGAAATGGAGGTGGGGAGTGAATGACTTAAGTGTTCCATAACCAGCCTTGCGGAACTATTTGGTTCTTTAAACGGTGTGAAGTAAGACTTTGATAAGAAAACACACAATAAAAGTGAAATCAAAACAGAAGCAAATGGAAAATTGTGGAACCTCTCCTGGAAGGCCCTGTGACTCAGGCAGTGGGCACCCGGGGCCTGGTGGCCTCCGAGTCACCTTGAGAATCCTGTCATTGGGGGCAGAGCGGTCGGGGCTCCTGCCCCCCATCCTGTCCCCCAGATTCAATGGGAGACACAGAGTGGAGACCTTGAGAGAAGCGGGGCACATCTGGATGGACAGAGGAGCATTGCTTATTTGAATAAGCATACATTTATGTTCATGTGTATTGGGAAAATATAATGAGCATATCAAACGTGTGATTTCATGGAGGTTATTGCTTAGGATAAAGCCAAGTTTACTGAGTGAAAGGATTTAAAGGAAAATACTAGGATGAGAGTAGAGAAGGTAAGAACCAGGATGACCCGTTTCTGGCTTGAGGAGCTCCCCATTGGATGGAGGATTGGACGACAGCCCAGTGTGATCAGAGAGATGGGGACGCACAGGCAGGACCTCTCTGGAGGGGACCGGAAGGCTTCCCAGAGGAGGAGACATTTGAACCGAGGCCCAAAGGATGACCAGAAGTCAGCCAGTGCAAGAGTGTTTTAGGCAGAGGGGCCAGCCTGAGACTCCAGTTCTTGCGGGGCAGGGTGGAGGAGCAGGGTGTGCATGAGGTGGGCTGCTGGGCTGCTGGCAGCTCCGGAGGCAGAACATGGAGGCTTAGGTGGGGCAGCCGATGGAATGTCACCTGTTTCCGTTTCACGGGGAATCATTGTACTTGGGGTGGGGTTCGAGGGTTTTCTTTGGAAACTCGGGAGTGTGCCAGGCCCGAATGTTTGAATCGGTCGAGAAGGAGGGAGGAGAGGACAGGGGAGGACAAGAAGTCCCCTGGGCAGCGGAAGTTCTACCAGAACCTCCGTGTCCATGTGGTGTCTGGTATGTGCCAAGGGTTAGGCTTTCTCCGTTTGCCCCTCACTAGATTTCAACCACTACGTGCCTGGAAGAAGTCCCTGTTCCGCCATGTAGGCTCCAATACCGGCTCGGCCACTTACTAGCTGTGTGATTTCCCATTCCTCAGTTTGCGTGCCTGTAAAATGGGATAAACGTAAAGCCTGCCTCATGGGGCTGTTGTCAGGACTAAATGAGTTAAAGCAATTAAAGCACTTAGGTGGTGCCTGACCACCAGCAAGTGTACCATAAGCATTTACTATTACGGTGGTTTGATATGATCTTCCTTTTAACTTGATTTCAAGTATTTAAACATCATTTATCTAATGCTTGTTCAATGTCAAGCCTTGTATTTATCCTCTGAATAAACAAATGATACGATCCAGTCCTCCTGGGGGTACAGAAACTTCAGTAAAGGCAGGAACCAACATTGGTAAAATGTGGCCAGTGCCAGAGACCCAGAAACGCAAGGAGAGCTGACTCCTGTCCTTGGGGAGATGACAGGCTGACTAGGGAGAGAGGCCAGTGGCCCAAACTGGGGAGAGGAGCTCTGCGGAGGGGCTGTGGAGAGACAAGGAGGGCCCGTTTTGGTCATGTGTGAGACAGGATGAGAAAGGACCCCCTTTAAAGGGGAGGTCAGGGATGCCTGGGCTCAATCTATACTGTTTGAGTGTTGAGAAGTCATCAGGGGTTTTTGAGCAGGGAATTGTGTTTGAATCATAGCAACATAACTAAGTTATTATGCAACTACTGTATACTATCTGCTGTGTATACACAATCTTACCTAATGCAATCCTCACCAAAACACTGGGAAGTGAGTACTGTCACCATTCCCATTTTACAGATGAAGAAACTGAGCCACAAAGGTTAAGTTGAGTTGCTCGAGGTAGCAAGGAAGGGAAAGAACAGGCTTAAACCCAGGCAGTCCAACCCAGACCTCATGCTCTTAATCTCTCGACCTTGCTGCCTGCGAACTTCAATCAACATCATTATCTTAAAACTAGAACGAGCTGAAACTGGTTTGGCTCCGTGGATAGAGTGTCAGCCTGAGGACTGAAAGGTCACAGGTTCGATTCCGGTCTAGAAGTTGTACTTTGGTTGCGGGCACATCCCCAGTGGGGGGGCAAGCAAGAGGCAGCTGATCGATGATTCTCTCTCATCGATGTTTCTAACTATCTATTCCTTTCTATCCCTCTCTGTAAAAAATCAATTAAAAAAAAACACACACACTAGAATGAACCTTGGAAATATCCTGTTACCCCCATTTTGCAGATGAGAAAAACTCCTTGCTGGGGCCTGTAGAGCCTTCATGTGATCAGGCCTTGTTGCCTCCCTCTGACCTCACCTGGTCACCACCCTCTCCTCACCACCAGGCTCCAGCCCCCCTCATGGCCTCTATACTGCTGTTCCCTCTGACAGGAATGCCTTTCCACCTGATTACCAGGTGGTTGGGCTCTGACTTAGTCTGATTGGGCTGCCATAAAAAAATGCCATAGCCGAAACCGATTTGGCTCAGTGGATAGAGCGTTGGTCTACGGACTGAAAGGTCCCAGGTTCGATTCCGGTCAAGGGCATGTACCTTGGTTGTGGGCACGTCCCTGGTAGGGGTTTGCAGGAGGCAGCTGGTTGATGTTTTTCTCTCATCGACGTTTCTAGCTCTCTATCCCTCTCCCTTCCTCTCTGTAAAAAAATCAATAAAATATATTTTTAAAATGCCATAGAAGGTGTGGCTTATAAACAACAGACATTTAATTCTCACATTTCTGAAGGATGGGAAGTCAAAGATCAAGGTGCCTGCAGACTTGGTGTCTGGTGAGAACCCAATTCCTTGTTCACAAACAGCCCCCTTCTCACTGTGTTCTCTCTGCACCCTGCACCCTGGCACGGGTGAGGTGGGCTCTGACTTTCCAGGGGTGGAGCCTTCTCAATTCCTGCAGAGACCTTGTCTCCTAGGGGCAGGGATGACAAGTCCCTCCGGTGGAGCCCGCGGTCCCTGCCCTTCTCTATCACAGCAAGGTCTACCCCGATGTCCTTCTGATTGTCTACCCTCTGCCTCACACCCTGGAGAGTGTCAAATGAGGATGAATGATGAAGTCTGTGCTCCAGGTCCTCCTTGGCCAAGGTCACATGAGCAGGTAACTTGCACAGATGTACTATACACATGGGCATACTCACCAGCTTCACGGATGGTCATGTCCGGGTTGGAGCTGGTGAGGCACGCGGAGGTGCAGCCCCAATCCTTTCCCTTCTTCCTGACCGCGCACATCCTGGTACCCAAACTCCTCTGCACCGCCACCTCAGCCCCACGTGCCCGCTGCACTGGCCTGTGCACGAGGGAACCCGTCTCCCCTCCCGCCCAGATGCGCTCCCAGGCTTCCCTCAGCCTCCTCCCAGCCTGCCACCTCCTCCAGGCAGCCCGCCACCTCCTCCATGCAGCCCGCGCTGCTTCCTCCGGGCTACCTGCCACCTCCGGGAGCATTGGCCTCATCTGGCTCACCCCAGCCTCTGCGGCGCCCCGCACGCGGCCTCAGCAGGGGTGAGCCTGCCTAGGAGGGAGGATGGACCCACGGGAGGGCGGAGGGAGAGGTGGCCGCAGCCGCAGGGCCGCGGGGCCGGCGGAGGCGGCCGCGGGAGGGGGCGCGCGCGCCGGAGGCGGCGGCGGCGGAGGCCGGGACCGCGCGCCCCGCCTGAGCCCGCCCCGCCGCCGAGCGTCACGGAACCTGCTTGAAATGCAGCCGAGGAGCCGGGCGGGCGGCGGCGGCGGCGGCATCGGCATCGGCAGCGGCAGCGGCAGCCCCGGCGCCGCGGCAGGAGCTCGGGGAGCTGAAGCGCGGCTGCGGCGGCGATACGGGGTGCGCGGGGCGCCGCGGCCGGAGCCCGGGGCCCGCCATGGGCCGCCCCGGAGGGGGCGCGCTCCGGCCGCCGGCGCTGCTGCTGCTGCTGCTGCTGCTGCCGCTGCGGCTCCAGCCTCTCGCGGCGGCGGCGGCGGCGGCGGATCCCCCACGCGGAAGCCAAGGTACATGCGGCCGGTCCCGGGCCGGGCTCTGCGCCGCCGGGGCCGCCAACAAAGCGCGGCCTGGTGGCCGGGGCGCGGGCGGCACCGGGGCCCCCCAGCCGGGCCTGGCAGAGGCGCCGGGCGAGAGAGGCTGCTCTGGACCCATTGATCTTTCCATCGGCCCCCGCCCCGCGGCTCCCTGCGGCGGGCTCTGCCCTGGGCACCTGCTCTGGGGGGGGGGGGGGGGGGGGGGAGAAGCAGGGGGGCCCGGCGGGCCGGGAACTTTGCGGGGGGGGGGGCGGTGGAGGCGGGTAGTCATTGATGGTTTGGGGTGAGCTGTACGATTCTTGTCGTGGACACGCGCTCCGTGGCGGCGGTGAGCGGAGCCGGGCGACCTCCCCGCCTGACAATGCGTTTCCGGGGACCCCGCGCGCGGCCGCCGAGCCAGAGGGGCTGCGAGCAGGAGGGGCCTGTGCCCGCAGCGCCCCTGCGTGGGTCTCGGCGTGTTTGGGGGGCTCCCTGTGGGGTGTGTCTGCGTGGATCCCTGACTGTGGGCCGCGTGGGACTGCATGGAGGGCCCCTAAGCTGCCTGACACCGGCTGTGCGCGCTGGCCTCGCCGTGCCACGGAGCGGCCTGCCATCCCAGGACCCCTGCTCCCCTCCGTCCGGATCGAGGGTGCCCGAGGCCCCCGGGACTGCTGCCTCGCCCCCTCTCCTCCGCCGCAGGAGACCCTGCCCCCCGCCGGGACTGCAGGGTCCGCGGTCCGCCTCACACCCCCGTCTCCCGCGCAGGGCTGGCCGCGGAGTGCGAGGAGGACCAGTTCCGGTGCCGGAACGGGCGCTGCATCCCCTCCGTGTGGCGGTGCGACGAGGACGACGACTGCGCGGACAACAGCGACGAGGACGGCTGCCGTGAGTGGCCGGCGGGGAGGGCGGGCGGCGGGGCGCCATGCTCCGCGCGCACGTGGCTCCGGTGCGGCCGCCGGCCACCTGCGGGGACCGCGCCCCGGGGCTGCGGGCGGAGCCGTCCCGCCCGGAGCTGGATGGGGCCGGGCGGAGCCCCGGCTCCGTGGCCCGGGAGGAGGGCACGCCCTGTGGCTAAGCCGGAACTGAGGGCGAGGACGCGGCTGTCCCCGCGCGGGTCCCGCTTCCGAGGCACCGGCCGGCCGGCCTCCGGGGCTCCGGCCTCTGCTCCGGGATCGCGCGGCTTTTTCAAAGTTGCGCTCCGCTCCGGGCCTCGCCGCACCCCTTACTTTCTCGTTTCTTTTTTTATGAATGAATGGGCTCCCCGGGGCCCCTGATTGGCTGGGCCAAGACCACCCCATAGGCATAGACCCCCGTGGTCTGAGCGGCCAATCGTGGTGAGAAAGGGTGTGTGGTTTTCGGGGTGCCCTGGGCGCAGGGGCCTTGTCCTGGCCCCGCCTTGGCCACACCCCCACGCTCACAGGGGGACCCAGAGCTAAAGCTGGCTGGTTTTCTGCCTCGTCACAGGGAAGCTCTTTTGTGCCACCCTCCTTAGCGACCTGGATCTCCAGGCAGACCGCCTGGGGCATGAGTCATGGTATAACCAGACAGCCATTGGGTCTGGGCTGCCTGTCACTACAAGAGCCAGTTAAGCAGAGACAGGGCTGAATCATATATGAGCGGTTTTTTTCCAATAATGCGGGCAGGATGGGAGAGCAGCAGGTCGTCCACAAAAATCTGCTCTCCCCTCCCCAGAAGGCAGCTGCTTATATTGGGTAGAAGGACACAGATTACAGGCCTGGGAAAGGAGGTAAGGTATAATGGTTACAGGTTATAGGCTTTGCAATATAGAGCCTAGGGTTTGCAAAGAACAGGTGCCTCCAGGACTAGATTGCTTCAGCCAGGAGGTTGTAAGTCTTTCCATAACGGTAGCAGATCTTGGGAAGGGAGGATGGACTGCATTCCGATGTTATCTCCCGTGTCCCAGGGTGTACCGCGCTCACGCAGGTTAGAATGCGCTTCCTCTCATTAGAACAGAACCATCACGGTTAACAGAACATGAGTAATATTTCTTATCATTGTAGCTAGTCCCCAGTATTCTGTTTCTGCCCCTCACCATGGGGCAGACCGGGAAGGAGGGAGCCAGGAGGAGGAGTCTGTGTCCTGGAAGGGGCCGGAGGATCCTGGGGCTGCTGGTGAACCCGGCCATGAGTCGGCTGCCGGTGATCTTTTCTGAGTTTGGTGTTTGTACACCGGGGGCAGCTGCCCTGGGAGTTCCTTCTCGGGGCGCACGCGGTTTCCGAGGTCTGTGGGACCAGAAGAGAGTTAGCAGGCAGTCGCTACGGTGGAGTGTAGTTCCAGGAACAGAAAAAACAGGATTTATAGAAACGGAATCTGTTACTGGTGCCCACTGTGGGCGGGCACCGGGGCACTAGGAGAGCAGGCCCGTGCCACTGGCCAGGGGAGCAGGACCTGCGGGAGGAGAGCAGTGGGTAGACAGACCCTCAGCTCCACACGGTGGCAGGGATGGGGGGGTGGGGTAGAGGGAACACCTGGACAGGCACGATCTGTGGAGTCCTCAAGGTTTTATTTTGTTTTTTAAATCCTCACATGTTCATTGATTTTCAGAAAGAGGGGTTGGAAGGTAGGGAGAGAGAAACATGAATGTGAGAGAGGAATATCAATCGGTTTCGACCCTAACTTGCCCCAACCAGGGATAGAACCTGCAATCTAGGTATGTGCTCTGACGGGGAATCGAACCCATGGCCTCCTGGTGTATGGGATGATGCTGCAACCTACCTAGCACACCGGCCAGGGCAAGGTTTTTGTTTGTTGGTTTTTACACTGGGTTTGCCAGTCAGCCTCTGGGTTCATTTCCTCTGACCCCACCCACAGTTGGCTCTGGGACTAGGGCACAGCTTTTCCTCCTGGCTGTTTCCTTACCTGACCGCGTGGGCTAATGATTCCTGCTCTGTTTTTTGTTGTGTTTTTTAATATATTTTAAAAATTGATTTCAGAGAGGAAGGGAGAGGGAGGAAGAGATAGAAACATCAGTGGTGAGTCATTGATGCCCTGCACTGCCCCCACAACCTGGGCATGTGCCTGACAGGGAATCGAACCGTGACCTCCTGGTTCAGAGGTTGACTGAGCCATGCCAGCCGGGCCCTGCTCTGGTTTTGAGGACCAGCTCCAGTAATGTAATTGGAAGTAATGAGACTAACTCGCTGACCATTAGCTGTGTGCCAACTACTGTGGCTATGCTTACATAAACTCCTTTAATCTTCAGATTAGTCCTATTTTATAGACTGTACAAACAGAGGTGCTGAGAGATGAAGTTACTTGCCCCACAGCTACTGAGTTACTAAGCAGGAGCTTGAATTTAAGCATCTGACTCCAGAGTTCTTGGGCTAATCATGACTCGACCATTATCCTCTGCTATTGAAGTTATGAAGATGGCTGAGCTGGGGTAGAATATTATGGATCTCATCGTGGGGAGTTGTTCTCTATGGTCCCTTTACAGCTGAGGATGAGACAAGGAAATAAAAACTACATTTCTGACCGTGGCCAGGTGGCTCAGTGGTTGGAGCATCCTCCTGTACACCAGAAAGTTTTGGTTTCAATTCCCCTTCAGGGCACATACAGAGGTTTTGGGTTCAACCCTGGGTTGAGGCAAGGATGGAAGGAAACCAGTCGATGTTTTCTCTCTCTCCCTTCCTCTTTCTCTCTAAAATAAATCAATAAAAACATATCCTCTGTTGAGGAATTAAAAAAAAAAAAAACCTGAACAGCCCTGGTCCAGTGCTGGATGAGCATTGTCCCATGAACCAAAAGGTCGCCAGTTTGATTCCCAGTCAGGCCACATGCCCAGATTGCAGGCTCTGTCCCATCAGTATACAACAGGAGGCAGCCGATGTTTCTCAGATCTCTCCCTCTCCCTTCCTCTCTCTCTAAAATCAATGAAAACAAACAAACAAAAACAAAACAAAAAACTCCTGTGTTTCTGGTCTGGTTATACCTTATCTCCCTGATTCTTTCTAATAGCAGTCTTCCAAGAGTGGCTGAAGAGCAGACCTTTTTCTTATCATTTGTAGGTAAGGGTCTGGCTCAGAGAAGTTGAGTGACTTGCCCAAGGTCACACAGCAGACGATGACAGAACTTGGTCCAGATGTCCACCTGCCTCCCAGCTCTGGGGAAGGATCTGGGAAGGTGACCCAGGTGTTTGAAAGCCATACTCTGAGTGCTGAGCCTGCTGCTTTTCATCTGAATTTCGAGGCTCCGGGCAAGAGGAGTGTGAAGCAGTGGGTGGCTGGGTGGCCCCGGATGGGACCAGGGGAGATCTGATGGCCAGCCTGGCTTCCTGACTTCATCCTGAGGTGGGGGGGGGTGGAGTCATAGGCAGAGGGGGAAGAAAAGCAGATGGTGTTGGTATTTGGCAGGGGGAGTAGGGTTGGGGGCTTTGCTGTTAGTACCAAGCATCAGCTCCACACTCCTGTCTTCTCTGAGTTTGCTTCCTCAGTATCTGCCGAATGGGGGGAGCTGTCCCTCCACCACAGGTTATCCGTGTGAAAATGTCCCCGTAGGGCTGGCGAAGAGAAGGGGATGGATGACTGTTCACACCTGCAAGGTCCTCAGAGAGGGGCCTGGAGGAGCCACCGGAAGAAACCTTGAAGAAGGGGGGCGGGGCCAGTTATCCGAAAATGATCTTTCCTCACTTCTTCCTTCCTCCTCTGGGATGTCTCCCCAACTCTGGGCCAACTGCCCACACGGCATTTCTTTAACTGTCCTCCCCTCCAGGCCCTCGGCTTCTCCCTGAGCAGCCGCCCTGCCTTTTAAATGACCCCTTTCTTTGGCATCCACCCTTCCACTCCAGGACAGCGGCCTCACCTGCGAAATGGGTGCGGCCGCAAAATGGGTTCCAGCTCCCAGAGGGGCCGCGAGGCAGCCTGCAAACACCAAGCACTGGGGGCGGCTGGGGAAGCCCAGGAAGGCTTCCTGGAGGAGGAGACAGATAGGCCGGGCCTTGACAGATGCTAACTAACACCATTCCCTTAGAGCTTGCCACCTACAGTCCCCATAGTATAGAGGAGGAAGCTGGGGTCAGAGGGGTGAAATTACACTCCCCAAGTCACAGAGCTCATGGCAGGTTGGAGGCAGCCCTCAAACCAAGGCCTTCTCAGTCCTCATCCTCGGCCCCCGCAGTGGGACGCGGCCCTCTGGAGACACGGGAGAGAGCTGGCGGGCGGGGGAGAGGAAAGGCCCCCAGCGCTTCAGTCCCCGGCTCCGAGGGCCTTCAAAGTGTAGGAAGGGGCTGGACGCGGGAAGCCCAGGGTGGCCCAGCGGGGGGAGCTGGGTGGGTCGCTGGCTGTGGACATGGGTCACGTAGGCCCGCGGGCCCCTGGGCCCTGGTTTCCTGTTGCTCCGTCGTGTCTGGGGCAGACCTGGGGGCTCTGGGCTCCGGCCAGCCCTTTGCTCCCGGAGAAACAACAACAGCGAGTGCTCACGGAGCCCTGGCCGAGGACTGGGCGTTGTGCTGACATTCTATCAATATGTGCATCTGCCTCATGCTTCTTCGTTTCTTTCTTTTTAAAAAAATATGTTTTATTGATTTTTTACAGAGAGGAAGAGAGAGGGATAGAGAGCTAGAAACGTCGATGAGAGAGAATCATCGACCAGCTGCCTCTTGCACACCCCCTACTCGGGATGTGCCCGCAACCAATGTCCATGCCCTTGACCGGAATCGAACCCGGGGCCTTTCAGTCTGCAGGCCGATGTGCTCTATCCACTGAGCCAAACCGGTTTCGTCGGCCTCGCGCTTCTTGATTCTGTAACACGGGGCAGCTCTGTGAAGTACCTGAGTTATTCCTACCATGCAAAGGCCCAGCGTGTATGGTTTTTAAGCAGAAGCGCCGTGGTGTGAAGGCAGGCACCCACCCATGGAACTCAGAGCC